ATTTTATAACAAGTGAATCTACAGCTAGGTTACATGGTACGTCTATATTAAAAAAAAACATCAGATTCAAGCAGTTCATTATCATCAACAGGCTTGTTGTGCCTGGAACGCTAATCATCAGTTCAAGTAAAAACCTAGAAGAAAAGTTAAGAGAACTCACAAAAGATTTCCTCCAGTATACTTTAGAAAATCTTGCTAAAAAACATTAGTTGTTTTTTATAAAATATGCATACCTAACTTGGAAATCCATAATCAAGCATAAAATTTGTAAAATTTAAAAAAATTTCAATACACCAACTTTGGTTGTTTTATTTAAAACAAAAAAGTAAGGCAAAATTATCTAAAAATAAATGCAATGATTTAAACTTGAGCATATTTTTTAATTTCTTTATCATTTCCTTTGAAGTCAATCTCTTTTTTATTCAATATGTTGTGAAAAAGTAAAAACTTTTTATGTAAAAATATTTATCCTCTTCTAATAAATTGTCATATCTTCGTATTGGTAATGAAAAATACAGTGGTGAAGAGAGATAAGCGATTATATAATTATAACCTCAAAATCCCACAAAATGAGAGAAGCTAGGTGAAATTACATATATGTTTTTCAGTGGTAAAGTATTTTTAAGCGACATACCTTCCAAATGTTATATTTAGTGAATAAAAACTTAAACCAAAAGTTGTTTTAACTTAAGAGTTACAAACTTATTTACCAATTTTCTCTAATTAATGAGTGTGTGTGGCTTAGCTCTTTTCACCACGAATATAACGATATATTTGTTACATTATAGCATAAATAAAAATATTTCCAAGTCACATGTACTTACAATAAAATAATTTTTTTTACCTTTGCATAAATAATAAACTAACAAAATAAAAATATATATATACAAAAAAAAAAGTTAAATGGCTTAATTTAAAAAAGATGATATATCTATCTCTGCGTCTACAAGTAAGAAATTAGGGAACTCAGCTATCTCGTATAATATATACCTAGTTATTGTTGCAATCGTCTATTATTCATCGATCTAGTTTTAGCATCATACAATTGCCATCTTGAAACGTACCTTATGTAAATATACTTTTATACAATCGTTCACTGTTTAAACTTCTAGTGAACCTTTGCAATATTGATACTTTGATATATTTGTCCAATTGTTTGTGATATACCTACCTCTACTTTTGTGATATTTATACTTGATTTTAAGAATATTTTAATAATAAATTTACATATTTTTTTTTATTTGAAAAACTATAACCTCAATTTCAACCTCTCTGTATTACATTACACGAAGAACAAAATAGTGTGTCCACGGATGTACTTAATTATACTTTTTTATAATGTGAATCGAATTTTTTTAACTGGTAAAATAAATTATAAAGAATTACTTTTTTAATTTAAAATAAATATTTTCACAAGTATAGTTAAGTCCACCCGTGTACACACTGTATAATGCTGTAGAACTAATTCACATTAGGTCTTTTCCTTTGCATCGAAAGTGTAGCACTGAGATACATCACTTCTGAAAATATCGTTCCATCCTTACAATTTGTATAAATGGAAGGATATTTTCAGAAGTGGTGTAGCTCAGTGCTACACTTTCGATGCAAAGGAAAAGACCTATTATAACATCTATAGAAAGTTTCAGAGCAACTTTCAGGGTAAGCACCGTAAAAGTGCTAGTGTGATGTTTTCCGAACTTCACTTTGTAACCTCTGTAAAATGTGCTATAAAAGTCTTGCTGTTGCGGACATTCGGCGGTTGCAGCGATATTAGGGTTACATTAAAAGTACATCGCATGCGAGCTTAAAGAGCCTAAAATTGCAGCTTATTAACGTAGATGGGATTTTTTTGTGCTAGCTGGGTCCAATTCCCATTTCTAATAATATTTTTGTATATTGGTAATATGTTTTTTAACTGCTTTAATTCTTTTATTCGAAAAAACAGTCTGTAAAAAATCTAAATAAACATTTACAGACCCTTTTAATACCTAGAAATTATATACAAAAAAAATATACTACTCTGACAACTTATCAGGCAGCTGGAACTAGGCCGTTATTACCGGATTATTGATAAAGAGGTTTAAAAAATAGTTAACCATTCTGTTAGGTAAAAAAAATGCATATCCACGTATCGATAGAATTCCCTTATCTTCCTTGTTAAAATTGGAATAAGTAGAATCTGATAAGAGGTACACAGCTACGTCATAACTATAATTTTAAATTTCAAATCATCTATACCTATGAATAAATAAAGAATATGTGAGTTGTTAGGTTTAAAAATATTATTCCTACAGTCCTATAATATCAACACGCCACTAAGGACCGATTCCACCGTTGTGTTAAACAAAGTTTAAAATGACATTTTTACATTAACAACGTCATTTTAATCTCCGTTTAACACAACGGTGGAATCGGCCCTAAACCCTCAAGGGAGGCTATAGCCAACAAATTATTCTGCTAATGGATGACGTACCTGTGTTCTTTTAATTGTAATCGGACCCTACCTACTAAATAAAAATTCTGATATGTCCAACACATGACTTTCCTGTCTAGTTATTACAAGCTTTATCCGGTTAGTTTTTACAACCTATTGTGTTACTCCTGTAAATATTTGGAGGATGAACTAAATATATATATTTTCCACATATGTACATCTTACTCGAAACATTTTTTCATATTGGCCCATTTGAAAGCGGGCCATCCTTTATTTATAGAGCGATCTTGTCGTATTTTTTTTTTTAATGTGGAGGGGGAAAGGTGTATTTTGGAGCCAAGCAGCATCCAGTTTTTTAAAAACCAAGGCCTACTAGATCACATTCAGAGGCTGAAAAATCCAGAACCCATATTAGAAATTTTTTTTAGAAAAAATTCACGTACGCCACTGGAATCGGCGTCCTCTGAAATATATCTGCACCAAATTTAATGAAAAAAAGATTCAACATTAACCCATGCGATAACAAAAATTAATATATATAGGCCTTGGTTTTTAAAAACTGGAAGCCGCTTGGCTCTTTTTAAAAAAATCCGTCACACATAAATAAAAAATTTATGAAGATGGCCCGCTTTCAAATGGGTCACTCTGTATATTCATTGCCAATGAAAATACTGAAAATATAAAATTTTACATTTTCCTCAAATTTTTTTAATACGGTCCATTTTAGAGAAACCATGTATAAATAAAAAATTATAGAGATCGATATAGTTTAACAATTTTCTTAAAAATACGAATTTTGTACATTGTGTCAAACTCGAATACGGACCATTTTCATGAAATTATGAATGTAGCAAAAATTAGGTATAAAGACTAAAATTGCAAGCAGCTTTTATTTGAAGAAATTTTCTTTTCCAAGCGTAAATAACAGATACATTCCATAAAGTAGAAAAAGGGCCTCCTATAAAGTACCCCCAGATTTTCCGATTATGCCCAATATATAATAATTTTACCGCACGATGGATTAAAACCTAAATTTAAAATTCTTTCTCTTCAAAATTCGAAATTTATTTTAGATAAGATTTATAGAGAATGATATCGCAAACAACTTTTATTTGAATAATTTTCTAAAAATTTAAATTTTTTACATTTTGTTAAATTTCTCGAATACGGACCATTTTAGAAAAATGTTGTATAATGCAAAAATTATAGAGAATAATATTAAAAGTAACTTTTTCTCAACTATCCCGAATACGGTCCATTTTGGAGAAATTATGTTTGAGACAAGAATTATAAAGAATGATATCATAAACCACTTTTATTAAATCAATTTTCTCAAAAATTTGAATTTTTTACTTTTTGTCAAATTTCTCGTATACGGATCATTTTAGTAAAATTTTTTATAGAACAGAAAATATAGATAATAATAATGCCGTGTAAATTCATCTATGAAAAAATGTCAAGAAAAATCACTTACGCCCAAATTTCTAAGCGTCAAATCTCGAGTTTTATAGAAGATACATCCATAAAAGTTATATAGATGGATAAAAAATACATTGTTGCCATGCGTAGGGGTCATATCTTTGTTTCAACGAAAATTGTAATTACGGTCATTTGAACTAACACCGCAGAATATTAGAAGTAACTTTTATTTGAAGTATTTTGTTCTCCAAACGTAAATAACAGATATATTCCCAAATCTAATAAGTTCACCGCAGTCCGGAATAAATCTTAAGTTTTTATGTATTTTCCTGAATTCATTTCCGCAAAAATATTTACTTTCGTGAACTAGATTAAATGGATTTTTGAATAGATCCTTTGTTTATTTAAATTTAATAATATGGCCTATTATTGAAAACTAGTGATAATGAGTATCTACTTAAATTAGAACTTTTTAACCTAAAATTTACTACTAATTAAATACTTACATATTATTATTTTATGCGTTTTTCAAGTAACTTATCTCAATCTGTAATTATATTCCACTTACTGTAATAATAACTATTATAATATACAATTTTAATGTTATCTCTATTTTAGACAATATTGTATGTTAAGGGTTCATTATAATTAAGAAGTATAAAATACAAAATATATTAAAAATAGCTTATTGCGTTTTAATTTTAATGACAGTCATATTATCAAACTTTAATATGTTTATATGAATACAAATTATGTTTATGGGGCTTTTATTTTTTTCTAAGACTATAGTTAAACGATTTTAAACAATATTCAAATCCAAAGTGCTTTTAGTGACTTGCACGCACTACATACTGTGTCGTGTCACATGCGTCAAACATTGTCGCCATTTTTTAAACAAAACTCTCATGGATTGTAAGAATGTTTATCTCGGAGAAGGCCATGGTGACCTCATGATCCCCTCTCTGGAGCCGCCCTTGAAATGGTATCTTCTCTATTCAGGTTGCTCCTACAGTAGTCGTATAGACACATGATATTTTGTATTCAAATTTGGCTACTTAAATTTCCGAAAAAATGCGGAAAATATGTTGGAAATGCAAAGTAAACTTATTTATAACTCATACTAGAAAATGTGATATTTTAAACTCACCTCGTTACAATATCCTGCATTAAGAAAAAAACACGTTGTTAGTAAACACCAGAAAAGACCCCGCATGACCTTGAATACCGAATTTGCCCCATTTACTTGTCAGATGATTTCCTAATTATTATATTCACTACACTACAGCTACATGCTTATACACCTTTTAGTCCTTCTACACATCTTCTTGTAGTATCTGAAAAAATAAGAAAAAATTAATTTTACTTATATGAATAACAATTATTATTATTATATATTATTTTTTATGAAAATTGAAAAATGCAAAAATCATATATAAATTTCGTATATTTATTTTTACTCTCATTTAATATACCAAATTGCTGTCTAGGATTAGAGCAGAGATAACGAGGAGATGTAACTACTAACAAATATCGTGCGATCCTGAATAAGACATATTCTAAGGGACACAGGCGGGTATAATATCCGCTGTTGTCATATGCCTATTTCATTATTCTCGTTTTGTTTACAAAATTATTTAGGTATATTAAAAAAGCTAAAATAATTCAACCTATTTTATTGTATATTGCAACTGAACCCAAAAATTTTTGAATCATTAGTTATATTAAATGTAACTAAATTTAGATGTAATTTCACTAAATTAGATGTAATAATTTTCAATAAATTCCAAAACCTAGTGATGTTAGGTTGGAAGTGGCAACAGGGCTTACATACATGGATATTTACGTTGTTTATTATAAGCACACAGCGGCTTACACATTTATTCATTGATAAAGATAAGTTGTATCTGTGTAAAATTCCGTTCTTTTACTTCTCACCTTCCGTCACCTCACCCCGTCCCTACAATAGAGCGTTATGATTGTCGACTCAATTTTGGAATCCTGAATATTATATTTTATCAATGACTGCTTATATCTCTGTTATCTCCGGATTAGAGCCATATCTTTAATAAGGGTTTCAATTTTTCCTTTTTTAAAATTAAATTAAAAAGGTCTTATTGTCTTTGTTGTTGTTATCGGGTGTGGTCCATAATTTGATGTTGGTCACACTATTGCTGTAAAATTTTGTCCAGCCACGTACTCATACCCTGATCATTTTTAATTTGAATGGTTTAAATTAAATTACACAAGTTTCTCCCAACACGGGGCACCTTTTATAACATAATGACAGGAAATTGATGAGAAAATATTCATAAATAAGTTATCTATTGTACAAATTTGGTATATTTTAATAAACTCCAGGTGGCGTCTCTGTATTGTATGGTCTATGAAACGACCGATCAAAAACTGTGTAATTTGAAATTGATAAGATTCCAATTAAAATAAATTGTAGTCGACAAATAGAACTATATCTAAGCGTGTACTTTGACTAGAAAACTAGTACACTGTCTGGATAGCGATATCACATAACCCCATTTTTTCTAAATCTTTGAATATACCTTCACCCTTCAGGGTAAGCAGGGTACCCAAACAATGTTGTGGAACAGGAAGTAAAAAAACCTCGATATGTTTTTTATACGAAAGTATTCATTCTTAGTTAGGCGTGTGTATACTTTTTATTTTTTTGGTTTATGGTTTCGATATACACCTAATATGCCAGTCTTAGTTTGTGGTTTGATTTTTATTAAGGTGCGTTCTGTATAGGCTTTGTTGCTATTTTTCAGTGTACAATTAATTAGAACCCAACAGTGAATGGTTGGAGTGGGGAATCCAACAGATGCATCAGAATTATTTTTTAAATCCCGGCCAACGGTGGGATTCGAACTCCAGACTCTTAACTAGAGCTGAGTCACCCACTCCACTAGTATGTAGGTATACAACTAGTATCATGGAAAAAAATCATCAAACCAAAGTGGGGAAATTACAGGTACATCGTTTTTATGTATAAGATAATAATAATTAAGTAAGAAAAATAGAGGAAGTATGGTATTTTCAACAAAATTGAAATTGTTGTGCAAATGTACATTGAAAAATAGTATATTATGCAACGATCATGTAATGATGGTTATTAATACACGAGCATTAACCGGGATACGAAACGAGCCAAAGGCGAGTTTCGTATGGTTTATGCGAGTGTTTTAATAACCATTACATGAGAGTTGCATACGCTATTTTTTCTACACCCGATAAATAATCAAGACCTATAAATATTATATTTATATTGGTATTGAACACAATAACAGTAATTACTCGTATTTCTATAAAAAATTCTACAAAATTGTAATTAATGGTATTACTTCAGGTATTGGTATTTCCCTAGATTTTTGCGGTAAAATATTTTGTACTGTATTTTCTGCTTTCTCCGATATGTGTGGAGGAGTCTTCTATATCGCTAATATCAGACATTTTAATATTATAATTATCGAAGTTTAGCTACCTACGAAAATTTAATACGTTTTGACAACTAAAATAATTACATAGGAACCTAGGACAAACGTCAAACAGCATGCTTGATTGAAAAATTGTAGGTTTCTATTGATTAAAAATCTGTATCATAATGGGTATCATTATGAAACGGATTATGGGCATATAAGTGCATTATTATAATACGGGTGTAGAAAAAGTATTTAGTTTCCATTTTGATGTTATAATATATTAATAAGGAAAAAATATAACTGCGACATTTTATATACAGAGTGGCCCAAAAGTCTGGAAACGGCCAATTATCTCGTAAACTGCTAGTCCTAATTGTACAAAATTTGGGGTACACCTATTTTGGGACACGGTGATTCTAGATTTTTTATTTGCAATGTTGCCAGATTTGCCGTTTCTCTTAAATTATTAGTCACTTTGGTTTTTTAAATTTATCACCCTGTATATTTAGTTAGTATTGGAATCTTCTATTCAATACGAGTTCAACCATATGTAACACTTATGATTTTATGTAGTCTTAAATAAATAAAATAAGTCTGGCAACGCCTAATTGTCTCAATAAATTTTTTAATATAAACTATTTTCAACTACATTAAAACGTAACAATCGAAAGATTATAACATTTTTAACATAATGGTTACTTTATCAAGTGCTCAAAATGTGCTCCATTTGTGAGTTGACCTACCCTAATCGATGGTAGAATGCGTCTACCACATTTCTCCATGAATATTTTATTTATTTAAGACCTTCCAGACTACATAAAATCATAAGGAAATTTCCCTATTCTGGGAAATTTTGCCAGTTCTAGGGATATAGGGAAACTGAAGTGAATTCTAAGGAATTTTGACGATTAATTTATTTGAAAACTAATTTCCAATCAAAAAAATATTTATTTTAAAACAATTTTTACTTATTTAAAACCATTGTATTTTATAGCTGTTAAAGATGGAACCAAACCTATAGTGCTTAAACGGTTTAACATACAAAACCCAAAATTTCAGAATTTCAACTAAATATATTTGCACATATTTTAGCCCAAAAATTATTATTTTTATAACTACACAATTTTAAGCATGGATGCAATCTTGATTTTTTTAAATAGCAACATAGGTCATGTGATATACCATTTGAAAGGGTTTAACACCCTGATTACAAAAATGTATCACACATGGGGTCTAAACACAACAAAAAGGATATTATTAATTGGGAGCGTAGGAGGCTGAGCATTTGACACAAGACGTCAAATACATACATTTTTGTAATCAGGGTGTTAAACCATTTCAAATGGTATATCACATGACCTATGTTGCTATTTAAAAAAGTCAAGATGGCGGCCATGCTTAAAATTTTGTAATTATAAAAAAATAATTTTTGGGCTAAAATATGTGCAAATATATTTAGTTGAAATTCTGACATTTTGGGTTTTGTATGTTGAACCGTTTAAGCACTATAGGTTTGGTTCCATCTTTAACAGCTACCCTGTATGTACTCACTAACTTAATCATAAAAAAATAATAGAGCGTGCAGTATCCATTACCGCTCTGATAATTAAGTCTGGCGTTTGGGAGATTTCTCAGCTGGTAAACAACCGACCCCAGACCCGATTTTAGCTAACATATTAGACCAAGATCAACAGACCCTGATGATAAATGAGACTCAGAAACCTGTATTTTTTTATTGAATTTTATGTTTATTATTATTTATTTATTTCATTATTCTTTTTGAAATTTATTTTTTTAATTTTAATAATATTATTACCTTACCCACGGTAGTTCACATTGAAAAGTTAGCGAAATACCTGGGTCCAGATCCTCCCCGTTGGCTCCAACCAGGTCCTAGTATTTAAGTTATTCGAGACGAATAATTAAAGAAGAGGGAGCAATGTTGCCCTCCACCCTGTAGTAGCCTGCGGCTGTTATAATACGAATAAAATAAGAAGTGCAATATCACTCATCCCTCGACAGTGTTCTGCGGTCATCATAATAAAAAGTACGTATAAAAGAAGAAGAGAGAACAGTCTAGAGATGACAGTCCGTTTTAAGAAACATTTGGACGGTTCGAGAAGGTTCAAGAAAGATGTCGATGATCCTGAAGTCATAATTCAGTTTTGTGATAGACATTGTACGTTCATGTTATTAGTTGTAGAGTTTAATTGTAAAAATTGAGTTGAAATAAATTGAGGTACCAAACACCAGCGTAACAGATGGTAACAGCGGAGGGATATAAAATAAAAAGTTTCCTAAACATTCTGTTCATGGTAAATACTAGATCCACTGCATATGAAACAGATATGGATACGTCAGGCCCACTAACATGGTTTTTGAAGATGGAAGAGGAGAGAGGCAAGAAGAGGAAAAGGAAAGGCGCAGGAAGAAGGAAGAGGAAGGAGAGGAGGAAAAAGAAAGGCGCAGGAAAGACGAGAAAGAAAAAAAGGAAGAGAGGCGTAGAAAATTATGCATAGTTTGGAATAAATTCAGGAAACCTTCAGACAATAGGTGGGTCAGCCTAACATTAGAGTAGATCTTTTAGCACAACAACAAGAGATTCTAAAAACAAGTGTAGAACAGACACACCATAATTTAAAAAACTAATTTAGAGCAACATCAAGAGAATTTAAAAGAGGAAAAGGCTAGAGTAGAGTTATAAAGGCAAATTATAATTGAAATGGTTAAAATAGAAAACAGAATTCTTAGCCAAGCTTCGGTAAGCAATATTAAAGCTGAACACACTACCTCGTCTTCATCTATAACCGGACCAAGCCACATTCGAACCCCAGTTAAACAAAACCATCTTAGCAATACCCTTAGTCCACGCACTCCAATTTAAAACTGCAGCTAGAGCCAAT